GGGGGTGGGCTGCGTCCCTGAGGTGGGTCAGTGGCCGTGAGGCCTGGGCGGCCCCCTCCAAAGCAGGTGGCAGAGGCGTTTGGTGTGGACTGTGTGGTTTCGGTGTTACATGCTCCGTTTTCTCCCATAACTGACTTGATGGAGCCCTCTGGGCAGGGTGTTGGCTAGGGAAGGAGACTTCACATTGTTATGGGAATAAATGGGAGAAGAGGCCTGAGTCACTAGCTGGGAAGCGCTGAGGAGTTTGAAAGTGTCTCTGGAAAGAATCTCTCAAGAAGCGATTAAGGTATTTGTCTCTCAAGTAGCGCATCCTGTGCTGTTTAGGGACGCTGTCCTTCAGAAGTGGGGCAAAGGATTCAGATGGTGATTCAGAGACTTCAAAAAACAGCTTTACACTGATACAGCAAAGAAATCCATTTACCTCACAAGACAAAAAGGCAGGGGGTAATGTGCGGGGGCAGTGCTCTCCTGCAGCTGGGGGGCCAATGGGCTCTGCCTCCTGCCAGCCGGGCCTGGCAGTGCTGGAGGTCACCAGGGTAGAATGCTAAAGGCCTTTTACGTTTTTGACAGCAGGGCAAGTCCATCCAGTTACCACTGAAGAAGAAGAACATTTTCTCCTTCCAGCAGGAGTTGAGTCCTGTTACTTACTCCTGTTTTTCTTAAAGGGCAGGGCCACTTTGGGCTTCAAGAAACAAACACGCCCAGTTACGGCAGGATTGGATGTGTTTTTAAAATGAGTCAGCTATTCTGAGATAATGGTTGAGTGGCTGACCTCACTCTGCTAATGAATTACCTACTTCTAATAGAAAGTGCAGTAAACAATTAAAATAGTCTCACTCAAAAGCTTTCTGATTCAGTACTAGGAAATGACATTATTACAGTTTCACCACAGATAGGGGTGTCTGTTTTCTCATGTTTCTCCAAGCGCTTTCCTTTCAGCCATTCGACTTCCTGCCCTTGTCTCCAGCTGAACCTGATGGCTGCTCACTGCGAGAGTGGCACCGAGGGGAACAAAGCCCTTTCAAGAGCCGCCTGGTTGGGGTCAGATGTTTCCTACCTGTCTTACGATGACAACGATCAAAAATGGGAACTGAAAGCTATCTTAAAGTTATCAGGTGCAACAAAGCTCAGCAGGAGGAGAAAGGGATTTTAAATGGCTGAAAGAACCTTTCAACAGGCTGAGTAAAAAGGTCTTAGGCTCCACTTGATGGCATTTCTGTTGAGTGGACACTTCTGAACCCTGCATCTCATCAGCCGTGACTTCAGGAGATGTGCTAGGGTGTGGTGGGCAGAACACCAGAGGAGCCGGGAGAGGGAACTAGGGGCAGGAAGTTTCCTTTTCTTTGCAGTTAGTTAACACTCCTGACAGATACACATATCTGAACTCGTTTAAAGATTTAAGAAGTTGATGGCAACTATCAGTAGCTAAGGCGGGGAGGAGAAGCGGGGGCAAACATTAGCTAGAAAGGAGGGAGTGTATGGGACTCTGATACGTAGAAGAATGGAAAAGCAGGGTGAACACGAGCAGAGGGGTTAGCTGTTTGCAACAGAAGTGCAGAAGTAGGAAAAAATTGAAAGCGTGTAGGAGTATGGATGTGACAGATGGGAGATGTTGAAAGGACAACGTCCTTGAGCCACAGAAGCACGCAAGTGTGCTGAAGTAGTGTTTATTTTAAGGTTTCCTACTGAGTCAGTCTGTTTCTCACTGAAATTACAGAAATAGAGTAGTGCCATTTTATAATCCTCAAGGAATCACCTGGGATTCTTCAGGTCTACCCTCAGCGTAGAGCTGCTACCTGTGTTGTCCCAAATCTAAAGTACATCACCTGTAGTGAAACATCTTCTTCCCCTCTGGTCACAACACCAAATAACGTTTGGGCGCGAGAGCCGGTGTCGGGGCTGCGCACTCCTGCCGGTGTTGCGAGGCTTCCAGCCCACAGGCTGCCCTTCCCACCGCAGCCCGCTCTGCCCCAGAAGCCAGCCGCTCTGGGGAACGCTGAAACAAGATGGGGAATGATGAGGCTGGGAGGCTTTTATCTACACTGCGAAGTTCCTGCTGGTGTGCTTACACTGGGATCGTTCGTTTTCCTGCTGGCACGTCTAATTTTCATCCTGGAATCACGTCACTGCGCTTCTGCTGGCGTGGCTGTATCTGTTCTGGAGCTGCTGTTTTGTTTTTCTGCTAGCGCAGCCCCAGCAGCCGGAAGGTAAATAAATCCCTTGGCCATTAGCACTGAATAAGCAGGGTGTAAGATGCCTTTCTGACCGGCAGGCTCTGCAAGAGACCCTTGTTGGCAGGGCTGCCGTTGGAAGAGCAGCAGGTTTAGGGTCTGCTCCCCCGCAGCGGTGGGGCTCAGCAGGGGCCACAGGCTGATAAGGAACAGGCAAAGCAAAGGAGGTCGCGCTCAAATGGCTCAAGTTTGGTGAATCAGGATTGAGGAAGTGCCGCAGCTCATGTCGAGAAAGATTTTTCGATGCGGTCAGTTCCTGCTGCCCGTGATCCTCTGTACTCTCCACCTCTTTCAACATCCTGCCTTAATGAGGGAAGTAGTTTTAACTGAAAAATAATCCCCCAAATCGAGCAGCTTCTGCTCCGAAGCTGAAATAGCTACTGAAAACATCCTGTTTTTTTCCACCAAGCTGTACTGGAAGTTAAGAAATAACCCGTTGAGGATTGTGCAATCTGAGTTCAAAGCTCGATGACTCAGGGGTAGCAGCAAGCAGGGTGGAGCCGGCTGTAGGTTTTGCCCCAGTGTCTCAAGTCAGCCCGGAGGCGGCCTTGAACGTAGGTACAGTAACAGAGACCGGCCAATTGGTGAGAAGCTACAAACAGGGGGAAAAAAAAAACAAAACCAAAAACAAAAAATCAAATCCCAAGTGTTTTTAATTTTGAAAACGGTGCACTAATGCTTGAAAGTGCTATGCTTTGAAAGCCCGAGTTTCTAGTCCGTTAGTACTCCTCAGTCCAGCACCAGGTTTATGCTCAGTGCTACGAGGCCTCGTGAGGAGTGGCTTCTAATGAAAATGTGCTCACAGAGCCATTTAAGGAGTGAAAATTTACCTGCAGAAGGACCTGAGCCACAGGGCAGTAAGATAGCAGGTGAAATTTGGCACAGGCTCGTGGTTTCCTGGGGGAAACCAATCCTAATTCCAGCCGTTGAGCAGCAGGCTGTAAACCCAGGATCGCTGCGCAGGAACAACATGTCAGGATTATTGTAACAACTCCATGAAATACCTGTCAGCTCCTCGGTTGGCAGGAGTCAAAAAAGTGTTAGGGAAGGAGTAAAAAGAAGAAAATACTGCCTAAACCCTAGCGCACACACGCTCGGAGTGTCACATGCAATTCCTGCATCCAAAGGGCAAGAAGGATGCTCTGAGGCAAAGCAGTTTCTGTGGGAGAAGTGGCTGAATATGCTGGTATTCTGCACTGGGAACACACCAAAAAAAATGGTTCTTTGTGTGATTCCCTGGGTTGCACGGGGTTGGGGATGCACAAAGGTGATTCGCGCTTCATTCATGTAGGACTGGGCACGTATGTAGAGATCCGTGTTGGACTATCACCGGTGCAAACTGGGAGAGCCAGGAGATAGCAGAGCCAGCAAGGGGGCAGCGACGGACTGGTGCTGCTCCTGCTCTAGATCCCCCCAGGCATCCGCTGATGGGGGCCAGATAACGAGATGGGCCTTGGCCGGCCGAAGGGCTTTTCTTCTCCAACCTCTGTGGCAGCAGCCCAGGCTGCAGAACTGCTCATCTACCTGCCTGAACGGTTGTTAACCTGTCATGGCCTGTTGTTGGTAGCCAGGCTGGGAGTTTGTCAGCCAGAGTAAAATCACCCCCCTGGCCATGTGCCACCGTGTCTTTCCTCTGCAGACCAGCCTTGAGTGAGGTCCAGTAAGCAGTTTGGCGAGGTATTTCTGTCCTGTGCTGCCCTCCCGCTCTGCCCAGCTCGTTACGCACCCGGGAAGATGTGGCACTGATTCAGTTTGCAGAGCTCGCAAACGCTGTTTGCCCGTCCCGCTGCCCTGGCTCTGCGTTCAGACTTCAGCCTGACTACACGACCACACTCGAGTGGTTTGAGTCAGCCCCTGTGAGCACCCACACGAGCTGATCAACGGGCAACATGGCCGCCATGTTTCACCCCACTCGCCCGGATTTATCAAGTCACAGCCTTAAAGAAATTACGCACTTTATTTTTTTTTTTTTTTTTATTCAGAGAATCACAGTAAGCTACTGAGACTCGTGGCTGCTTTCCCCAGCATAGTTTCCCAAACATTCACATGCAACTTTTGAAAACATCAAGTACATTTCAAGAATTTGGAAGATGCACTGTCATAAGCAAAACCTGCACGAGACATCGGGATTTCTGCCAGAGCAGCAGCCCCCTGCGAGAAGAACAGGCAGGAGCGCAACGAGCTAAGCAGGAAGCGAGGGGGGCCGGGCAGCGGACACTGTGGCGCTCCGCTTTAATCGAGAACATTCTTGGGAACCTTCTGCAGAAGCGATTCGATATCATCCTGGATCTTGATGGTTTCGAAATGCCGGCTGTAGCGTTTGAAGGGCACGCCGTCGGGGCCGATGAGGAACTTCTCGAAGTTCCAGGAGATGTCGTTGCGGCAGACGGGGGACCAGATGATGTACTGCGGGTTGGTCATCAGCGAGGAGGGGTCGTCGTGCGGGAAGGGCAGCGCTTCTTTCAGGAAGGTGAAGAGGGGGTGCGCGTTCTTGCCGTTCACGTCGCACTTCTCGAACATGATGAAATTGGGCTTGTACCCGTTGCCAGGACGAACGTGCTCCAGCGTGAGCATGATCTCCTCGTTGGTAGTATTTTCCTAGGGGAAAACAAACCCAAAACCACTCCGTGCAAAGCCTGTGAGAGTCAAAACGGGGGCGGACGGCTCCTCCCCGGTCCCGGACCCCCCGTCCCTCCGTCTGCCCTACCTGGTGCCCGAACTGGTTGCAGGGGAAGCCGAGGACCTGCAGCCCGCGGGGGCCGTACCGCCGCTGCAGCTCGGTGAGCTGCAGGCAGGCGCGGGGGGGGG